GTATTGCACACTATCCTGTAGCAAAGTACCTACCATGAGAAATATGTGCTATATTTTTTATGACAGCCAAACGAATAGTGTGTACAAGTAATGTTTCCTTAGCTTTCATATTTATTTAGCAGATCTAGAACATTTTCAAAGGTATAAATATATATATATAGATATCTATGTAGAACATAGCCAAATAAATATATATGAACTGGTCAATGTGCAACTTGGTACAGACATCCTGGCTGTTTGGTTTGAGCTCTCCAGCGTCCTCCTGCCCTGCGCTCCCGGCCCCTCGAGCCCCTGCTCCGCTGGCGCCAGGGCTGGGGTGACGGAGCAGGAGCTCTCCCAGGGTGAGCAGTGGGGATGGTGCTGCTGGAAGCCCAGGTACAGTTTGGAAGGAGAAGGTGGTTTAGGTGGAGGAGCTCCTGTTTTAGCCTGAGCAAACAAATTGTCAGACCCCTGGCAGGGTGTGAGCTTGCTCGCGGGGAATCGCTGTAGTGAGGCTGATCCAGCGCGGTGACGCTCAGATCAGGCTGCTGCCGACAGCCGTGAGGGTTTTCCCTGTCAAATGCTGACTGTTACTTAAACCCGTCCTTGATACAAAACATTACCCGGTGGAAAGCGCCCTGACTGTCAGAGGAATCGCTTCTCGGCAGGATCTGGGACCGGTGGAGTTGGACTCGCTGTGGATTTGTCCGGGCATTTGTCACCTGCCATTATTTGTCTAAGGAAATGTGTTTGACAATTTCCAGTTTTTCCTTAGATCTCGTGGTGGACTTTAGCCTTTTAATAAATGTTAGTATATCAGATCGTGTCCTTGACAGTATTTTACTTGTATGAACCATGATAAAACATTAAAATCTTCATACTCTTCAGGCAGAAGTGTCAATAAACGAGAAAGAGAAGCATAGCATATGATATATGTCAAAGTAACGTTCCTTTTTAGCTTTCTCATCAACAGTAAAAATGTTTACAATGTATACCAAGATCTTCAGTTTCTGTCTAACACCAGTTAGAGGTTCTGATCTTAACAGAAATTGTGTTATAATGGCCTCAGCCTCGTTGCTAGGAAACAATAGATCCCGATTTTTTTATTCCTGCTCTAACTCCTGTGCTGAATAGTGACTGGATACTGTACAGGTTTATGTTATATGGCTGCAGTTAAATGGTCTGATGCATTTTGCTCTGGGTTTCAGACCAGAAGCATGCATTTTCTACAAGAACATCCCAGCAACACGCTGTAAATATTAAAAGTTAATATATTATGTGTCGATATTTGCAAAAGAAAGTACTTTGACTATTTCATTTTTAAAAAATAAAGGTGCAAACTGATGGTGTGTGGCGTTGTCTTTGTTTACACCATGTATTTGGGCTATTCTGGTCGTGTCAGTAAGGTGCTTCCATACAGCTAAAGAAGGGCTTCAGACAATAGCAGTTGATTCAAAAGTTGGGGGGGCAGGGGATTGCTAGCAAGATTTAATTTTACTTCTGATTCCCCAACATTCATGCATATAAGCTCTGCAGGTTTCGGTGCAGGTGAAATCACAGGCAGTTTCTGTGCACAGGTTATTACATTTCATCAGAACAAATGTGAGAGAGGAAAAAAAAAAAAAAGAAAAAAGTTCTGCTAAATGCTTTTGGACTCCTAAGAATGTGGGTGAAGGCAATGATGGTGGTAGGGGATGAGGAGCAAAGTTTAAGTACCTGCACGTTCTGTAGAGCTGCCTCAAACAGATGATGATGAATGACTGTGTGTATCAGAAGGATCCACGTGAGGATAAATGAAAAGCCCAGCACATGCAGCAGAGAGGAAGAGAGAGTGAACCGGAGGGGCAGAAGGAATTCAAGGCTAAAGGAGAGGTTATGTGGTGAAAACAGATGGGAGCAGCTGGGCTGGGCAATAGCCCAGCGTGAGGGCTGAGGCTGGAAGAGCTGTGTTGGATGGATAAGAAGGAAGAGACGCCAAAGGGGTGCCATGGTGGAAAAGGGAAAATATCAGCCTGGGAGAATGGCAGGATGAGTTGCTGCCGAGGAGTGGCACTGCCTTTGGCAGGGAGATGGCAGAGGAGGAGTGGCCAGGCAGGGGACACAGAGTCCCACCGTGAGCTGCAAAATGAGGTGTCAGGGCCGGGGCTGTGGCACCCCGGGGAAGGGGGAGTGGGAGGGCTGAGGGGACAGGGCAGCAGTGAGGGGCTCCCAGGGAGCCTGGCAGGGGTGGTGGAAAGGGAGAAGCAGGTAATACAGAGATTAAATGTGAAGTCATGCCCACAAAATGCAGCTGCTGCTCTCTAAAAGGATCTGTAGCTCTTCACACCTAAGTCAATGCATGAAATCGATATAATTTCCATATTACTGTTCCCAGAACAAAACATTGACTCCTTGTCCCACAGGTACCATGAGCTTCTCTCTCTGTTTCCGCCTTGTTTAAGCCTACAGCAATTCCAGACCCTTGTGTAGCCAAATGGAACACAAACAAGCCTCTGTCTTAATAATTTACATCAGAAACTGAAATGACATTCTCAGCTTTAAGCAAAAACAGCATCTTCTGGCCTATTTTATGTATTTTTTAGAAGAACAATGTGCTTCTGGAGTCAATCATAGTCAAACCAGTTATCCTCAGCTCGCTGCACTGCAGAGCAGATGAGCAGCGGCTGCTCTGGTGCCACAGATTTGCACATGCAGCACCGACAGCCTCAGCGTTCGCTTGAAATCAACAGGACATTTCTGTAGGAAACAGCCCTTGGGCAAAGTGCTTCCCACTGCATTTATCCCCACCACGCTGCAAGCATCTGCCAGGGACTATTGCCAAGCACACCCTTTCCTGCTCCCAGGAGAGACCAGGTAAACCAGGAGTTTGCTGAATTATATAGCAATTTTTTAAAAAAATAACAGGTTTTAAATGTTTTATTAAAGAGTAAATCATGCTGGATCTGCCACTTTATTAAGACAAGACTCTCATTTCAACCAACAAACGCATGTAACAAGGAAGTGCAGAGCAACACATGCACAGTGTAAAATATGATGTGACTAGTCAGGGGGACAGGACATTTCACTGCAAATGAAATTTCTTTTTAATTGCTTGTGTTGTCTCACTCACACACACACACACACAGACACTTATGGGGGGGAACAAAAAAAAACCCCAAAAACCAGGAGGTAAACCTTCCAGCCTTATCACGTGCTGCTTGGAGTAGCACAACCTTGCTGAATCCTGCACTTGCAGCTCATTTAGCTCTGTCACTGTTCACATCCAGCTTGCCTTTAGTGAGCTGAAAACAAGGAAGGACCCAGACACCAACAATGAAGTAGGTGGAGGGTTTTTTTTAACACACAAGTGGAAGAGGATCTGTACCCTCATGTAAGTATCCTGTGTGCAGATTCAACTACGAGCTGGGACCCTTGCAGGGAGGTGGCTGCTGCATTGGGAACCACCACCAGCACCAAGCAGCTGTGGTGCCTCTCACCCTGCGCCGAGCCACAGCTTGGCTGTGCCTGGTGGAATTTGGCCTGGTTTGTTCTCCTGAGTCTGCAGCCTTGTGTTTCTGGAAAAAGCCTCTTTACCTGTTAGGAAATGTTTCCTTCCTTCCAAGCTGTACAGAAGAAATTGGAAGTATAGGCACGAAATATTTAACCAGAGCAACCCAAAGGTGACTATAAAATGTTTGAGAGTTGGGTTGGTTTTTTTAAATAGATATATTTTCGTAGTTCATTTGCAATCACTTTTAGTCTTGTGCTTTGGAAGGTGAGAGAATCACATTCTTTGCATAGTCAGGACCATTTGTACTGGCTGAAGCATGACTAACAGTGGCATAAACCTTCCAGCCAGAGTAGCTGCATGCCCCTCGCAGACCGAGCACACACAAACAAGGCTGGGCAGGGCTGTGGTCCCTCCCAAAGCTCCCAGGAGCTTGTGCAACCTGGTCTGGCAGAAACTCAGACAAAGAGAGCCCAGTCCATGCCTAACTGCAGCGCACACACAGTACTACCTCCTGAAAGACGAGGGCTGTAGGACACCCAGTCTGTTCTAAAGTGTTTGGCACTGTCTGGCAGTTCAGGCAGGACAGTGTCACCATGCTGGTTAAACCCTGCGTGTAAAATGCACGTACTCCGCGTTCTCCATAGCCACGTGCTAACCCAGCGCAGCTGATGAGTCCTGTAGATTCAAAAACCTCTTCTCCAGGAGCCCAGCAGCAGCGTGTAAAGATACACGGATGGGTAAAGAAAAGCAGAGAAACCGTCATGCAAAAATAATTTCTTTTTTAAAATCGTATGCAAGAATGATTTGTTTCAAGTACAGAGAATATCTAAAAGCAAAGAGCGATGTTGTTCGCTTCACTGGTTGCTCTCAGTTATTCAGTGCATTGCTTAAGCTTTTGATCGTTTGTGCAAACTACAGCTTTAGTACATCCAGGCAGTGGTGGCCAATTCTGCTGAGTTACAGGGCAGAGCGCCTGGTGGAATGGGAAATTAGCTAGTGGGGATCCTCCTGGTGCCACTGCTGGAATAGCTTTAGGAATTGTATGAATGACAGACACACAGCCCACCCAGGGCAAGGACACTTTAATGTAAGCATTTTCCCTAAGGCTATAAAAAAAAGGGGACTTGCCCAGTTCTGCATAAATGCCAGCCAGAGCAAAGCAGCGAGTCCAAAATTAAGTAATGTAAAGTTAGTAACTAATTATTAATTAGGAACTTATCTTGAAGTGAAAGATATGTTGTACTTGAGAGTTCAGAGGAAAAAAAAAAAAAAAGACATTACGTTATTTAGTAGTTGATACTTTTATCCTCTCTTAGAAAACAAAAAGAAAAAAAACCACGTAAATTCAAAACATTCTGAAACTTAAAACTTCTAAATTTTGAGCTAGAAATTCTATGAAACACACATTTCTGCAAATGTTACAAGAAAACTCATGGAGTTGTATTAACTATCATATAAATCATTCTGTTCTAGAGCACAGGCTAGAGGAGACACTGGAAGATTTGGTTACGTCACACTTGGAGAAAAATCTTCATGATGGCTGCAGGTGCAAGTCATGGCCTTCATTTCTCCCTAAGAAACACAATCACAAAGATATGAAAGGATGAACACTGCAAGAAAATGGACAGACCAGGAGGTTCATACCCACAAGAGCAAGGGCGCTGGGGAGGGAAGGTAGCCACTGCTGGTATGGCAATCAGGAATATCTACTCAAAATCCATTTTCTCATCACATTGACAGGCCCTATCCCTAATGAACACCTGAATGCCAGCATTTTGATCACAAGGTAGCAAAGTTAAGGCATATTTTTGGCAGTGCCACCCTGCTGGCTAGTTCATGCAGGTAAGTCTAAGGCCTCCATCCCCATTGCCATGGAGGGTTCTGCTCAGCCGCAGCTGAGACTCCCTCTGCCCGACAAGTACCTGAGGGGTATTTGGCTTTCGCATGGTTGATGACTGGGTGCTGCAGGGGCGTTATGATGCCTTGGTCGGGTTTCTGGAAGGCCGAGATGAGGTTGTGCACTTTCCGAAAGAGCCTCCGGTGGACACCAGGCGCGGTCTGCGAAGCCCAAGGGTGAGAGGTGAGAGGGAACGCTGAGTGCTGTGCTTCAGTGCCAAGCTTAGGGCGCTGCCACAGAAGCCTTGTCCTCAGAAATGCAAACACCCCACAGGGAAGGAGCCAGCCCTTCTCTTGAACCCCCTGATGTGCCAACTTCTGATGAGTCGATGAGCCGTACTGCTCTCCTCCTTCCCTCAGGGCATCGCTGCCTCCCTGCACTAAGAGCACACTGTGGTGATGTAAGGCTGGAAGAGGGACAATTTCTACAATCACTATAAGAGAAACCCAGAGTTCGCCGTGTTTACTAGGCAAATTCCCAAGTGATCCCTTGCTATTTCTGACCCGGATTTATTGCAGCCAGTGATTTAACCTCCAGCCTGGGGTTTATCAGTAAGATACTTCCAGCCTGGAAATACCAGTAAGACACTAGAGAACTACCTGGCACTTACTGGGGAGAGGGAGTCCTGACACCACTAAACTAGGCATGGACACAGCTTCTTTGCAAGCCTTTCTCTGAGCATTCTGTACTGGCTCCTGTGTTCAGTGAGTGTTCCTGTCTCTTGTAAAAAGGCAGCAGTGAATGTTAGCTATTTATTAAAATGGGACTTTTTCTATCTTGCTCTATTAGCATCTTTTCAAACACTGTGAAATGAAACCGTGTCTGCTTTTAATCAAAAAATCCGATATTTCTTTTAAATCCTTCTCATTAATAACTCCTCCCCACCAAAGTCATGGAGGACAAGCATAGGTCCTGCCAGCATAGTCCCACCCAAGGGATGCTGCTCTCACCCAGCAGTCGTGGGCTAAATCCTGCCTCACTGGCACCAGCTGGAGGCTTTGCACAGCACTGTTTTCATTTCCCTGCCTTGTCCTTGAAAGATGGGCACGACTTGAGCTTGCTCAGAGGTGAACCAGCCACAGGGAAGGAAGCACAGACAGGAAGGCACCAGCTGCAGCTGGAGCCTGTTTTGGCCTCGGAGGCACATTTCATGAGGATAAATTGGATTTAGGCTGCTGTTTCTAGCAGCTGAGGCCAGCGTGGTCTTAGCAACATTTGCTTAAAGGTTTCTGTTTGTTTGGTATCATGGGTCTGTAACTAGCACCTTTCCCCATGGTATTGAGAGCCCTGGGCCTCCAGGGCACCTACACTGTGAAACACAGATGGGGTTTGCCTAAAATACAGTGAGGGAAAGCCCAAGACCCATACGTAGGAAGCCAGTGGAGGTCGTGGGGAGGAGCTGTAGCAGCTGTAGCTGTCCCAAAAGCCCTCCTGCTTGGGCATAGCAAATCTACATGGTGCTCCCTGTGCCTTACAGGAACGAATGAGCAAATTCTTCCTGGGTACCATTTCCAAGGGTGACACGGATAATTATTTATTCTGCAGCAATGTGAGTCACTTTTACTCCCCCATCTGCTTCTTAGTAACCCCAGGAATCAGTCTTGCCTTCCAGAGCACTGCAACACTTCTATCATCATAATGGCCAAAGAATTATGCCTATCTGGAAATTACTTAATGTTTATAATCAGTGTTCATTAATGTGCAAACAGAAAGCTAATTATGAATTAATACACAGAATACATCCAAAGAACAAGACCTTCATAAAAGAAATACAGGTTAGCATCCCAATTCCATCAACCTAAATGGTTGTCTGTATTGCAAATGGTGTTATTCTACATTTGAATTACAAGTTTCTTATCAGATGGGCAAAAATATGTTTTGTATCACGTTTTGGCTACCCTATATATGTTTTGCACCAATGATTAATTAATCTGGAGAGAAATTAACTTTAAAACACTGTAGATTGAAAATAATTTCCTTAAATGTTCTGACATTAATGGTACATGGGATAGAAGGGAACGGATTGTGCTGGTTAAATTATAAAAACACAATATTTTTGCCATTTAAAATGATGCAAAATAATGCACTATTGCATTATGCAACAGCTGAAATGTAACAGGGAATTAATTTATGAGCTCAAGACTGTCAGAAGTGGCACCAAGACATCTTAGTGATGGGTGCACTCAAGATCGATCACCTTCAATGAAAATCAGACTATACAGAAACATGAATAATTTTAATATATTTCATCAAATCAATACAACATCAAACAGGATGTAGAAATTTTCAGAAGAGAAAGGAGAAATACACACCTCAGTACTCCAGGACCCAGTTTCTGTCTTGGACACTCTGTAAGTATAAACGTAACCCTGATGCCTGGGAAAAAAAAAATAAAAAAAATCAACAGGTGTTTTTTACTCATTTCTACTGTCAGGTTTCACGAGAGGTACACACTGTTATGTGAGAGTCAATTCATCTGCTCACCTTTCCCCCCAAAATAAATTTCCCCATAGAGGATCTAAGTAGATAAAAAACCTGACACACAGGTCAGAAGCAGTGTTCAACCTACGGAGTTCTTTTGGATGAGGGGGGTTGGTATGACTCAGATCTAGTTTAGCAATATTCAGTTACTCTAAGTTAAGTGACATTGTTTTCATCCCTGCCTCATCATGTTTATTCTTTTTTTTCAGTCACGTCCTTTTACTGGCACACACCAGATATACTTCCACTGGAAAAAAGAGGAGGTGTATTATGGGCACATAGCATTACTGTACTGTGATTGATTTAAATGCAGATGTTCCCAGAAGCAATAGCACGAGTGTGATTTATTTGGAAAGCCAGACCCACAAAAGCAAAGTAAATTGCTCTTTGCCTTGCCCATACATTCCTAATTCTCAAATACTGATAAGGAGACTTATAAGAGCGTGGAATCTTCCTTCTTTTTAAATCTAATTTGAGAGTTTTGAGAATAAGGACATAAAACATACTCACGTCCAGAGTTAGTCTTGCTTCTCTTACAAACCCAACACAGTGAATGATTTACATGGTAGATTATTATAGTGACAGCCAAAAATTTAACTCAGAAGCAGAGACAATTGATAGTAGTTCTACAGATGCAATATTAGTTTAGATGGTATCAGATTAGAAAGACTGTATTTCATATTACATAGATTTACATGAATACACAGCAGGATTTTAGGGACCATTCCCTATTTCAGCATCAATTCTTATTCTTAAGAAAGCAGAAAAATACTATATTTCTTTCCAATTATACACGGTATTATAGTAGTTACTACAAAACACCAGAAACCATCAATGACACAGATACTGTATGATTGCGATTACTTACGCTCCGTGTCATGGCTCCTGGATAAATTCTTGTTAAAAAGTCATTACAGCAACCTTTGCAGGGCAGTGTCTGATATAATTTACCCAAGCAGGAAGTTGTTAACAGTTGTCACACTGCTACAACCCCAAGGAGTGGGAGCTAAAATGCCTGTTGTGATTTGTGAGCTCTCCCCCCACCACTTGACTCCCGCTGTGATTAAATACAGAGGCAGAAGACACAAGGCTGTTCCCTCCTGTTGGGGCTGCTGCCAGGACAAACTCCCTGTGCAGCAGCTGAGACACTGCCCTCCTCCTCCTCCTCGTCTGTGGGAATATACCTGACGCAGCCCCACAACCCCACCACAACTTCATCCACCTCTTCGTGTTAACCAAGGGAACGTTTTCCCCAGAGACATGGCTTTCCACCTGGCACCAGGTAGACATGAAAAGTGTCCGACTGTGCTCACTTCATGGAAACTTCAGGAGGAAAACAGCCACCACTTCCCCATTTCTTCCCCCAGCAAGCTCAACTGCTGCAGTCAGGGATTTGGAGGGGCCCAGAAAGGACCCTTGGGAAGAGGTGTGAGCAACCTGCTGTGGCTGGGGGAGGAGGGAAGGACATGGAAGGACAACGCTGTTCTCCTCTACATGCCACAGCACCATGGTCACTGGTGTTTGAAGCCACAGCTTGAGCCCAATTGCTTAGAAGCACATCCCTGTAAGCTACTGAATATGTTAATGTTCAGGGAATCCGCTGTCTCCCATTAGGGCTCTCGGATAATCTCGTACCATCACGTCCTTTCTTAAAACCTCTGAGAGCTGTGCCTGTATTGTCAGCTTTTCATGAGTAGCTGATGTTCACATTAATATTTTCTTTTTAGATATCACAAAGGGCTTTCCTACACCTACATATGTAGCGTGCCAGCCAATATATGGTTACTGAAACTAAGACTTTACAGGCCATAGTGTACTGGGAAGCACCAGAGAGGTCCTGACATTTTGTCCCCTCTCTTTGAAGTGGGTATTTTACCACCACCAGAGTGATTTTTTTCCTTTTCAAGCCTCAAAACCAACAGAATAAGCATGTAAAAATCTAAAACTCTCTTACCTCCTGTTTTTAATAATACACTCTGCATATTATCCATGCTTGTTCCTGGTTGTCCCAAAGCTTTCTGACTGCTCCAATGTCTTTAAAATCTGATTTTTCCGCAAATGGCTCAGTTGTCTGGAAAACTGTTGTTTCCTTCATCATTTTCTCTAACTAACTAAGAGATTGCATGACTTCAAATGGTTGAGGGGCTGGGGTGCTGCCCTGACTCTGAAATGCCTGATGGCTTTCAGCACTCTGCCAGAAGGGTTTACTAAGCTGGACAAATTGAAAAATAGAGGTCAGGTAAAGTAATATTCAGGGCCAAAGCAGAGTGAGGTATAAGACAGACACCTATCCTGCATTTTTCAGAAAATTCCTCTGTAAAATATTTTGACTGAGCCCAGAGATATCTGAGCACAATGGATAGTTCAGATTAAAAACTCATGAAATACAGACAAAGTAACAAGAATTTGCGAACATGGACACTTTGAGCATAGCATGGAAAATAGGAGGAGCATGACATTGCAAGGGGCAAGTGAGAGCTCTCCACTTACCTGGCAAATTAACATTTTTTTTCCCCGGGGGAGAAAGACTAAAAGACCTGAAGGAATTCACTGTACTTAAGCTGAAATCCACAACATTATAATCTGTTGTTGACTCTGAAGCTATCAGGAAACACAGCCACTATGTACATGGGAGATGGCCTAGGACCACCACACCTGCTTCTTCAAAGGAAATGCACAAAGGAAGTAGGACACATTGTGTTAAGAAGGTGAACAGTTAGATCTTCCCATCTAACCACTTTCCATTGGGATCTTTTTTTACACAAAATGAATCAGAGCTCTTCTGCTAATAACTCTCCCAATAAATATGTTCTCATCAAAACTTTCTGTTAAGTAGCAGGAACTTACTTCATTACCACTTCAAAGTGCTTTTTACCTTCCACACGCAAGTGACATGATTTTGATGAGTGAAGTTCTCTTAACTGCTACATGGGCACAGTCTCCTGTGAGAAAGGTTTTTAGGATTTAAACTACCCAACGTTAACTGAGATCAGTGCAGACTGAAGGAAGATTAAGGTGTTTTTCTTAAAACAATAATTAAATGCAGAAAATAAAGTTAAGATTGTATAGAGCATTGCCTCCCAAAGAGCAAAATACGTAACACCAGGCAAAAGCAGGTGGAAAAGTGCATTTACTGGAGCTTAAGTCTCAGGAGATGAGAAATTCCCCCATCACCAGGAGGAGACAGCTCAGTTTTCTAGATTTCACTCAAGTCATGGCAGCAAAAAGCTCCTAGTGTGACACAATGTTCCTGTATGTGGTGTGGCCACGTATCTAAAGCCAAAACCCAAACACCACGTGGACTGGGCATGGTGCTAGTCACTTGGGGCCTCTCAAACAGCTTATGCTTTGAATCCATTACGTGCTGAGATGGAAGTCCACTTAGCGACCTGAACTCCTCTCTCTGCTGGATGAAATCAACAGGAGATGGATGTATGTCACAGGGAGAAGGATTTCAGAGAGAACTCTTGCAGTGACACTGGTGTACCAGCACATATTGGAGGAGGACTGGCTCTTGACTCCCGGGCAATGACCCAATGAAGGGCTCTCCTATCCCTTCATCTGGCCACAAACCTTACTCACAATTGCAAATCTCTTCTTTCATGCCCGTGAAGCTCAAGGGACGGGAGCCATAGTGAATTAACAGCTTGATGAATGAGACCCTATAAATTTTTGATCAAAGGCAAAAAATGCCAAAATGCTGATGAGAGGAAGCAGAAAACAGCCATTACTGTAAGGACAATATTGGATAGCACTCATGAAAGAGTGGTTTGATAACCACTGATGATATTTTTATATCATCTCACTCATTTTTTTCAGCCCCATAACAAAGGATGTGTTATACCAGCTGAGAACCGCACTAGCACTGTCTCTGTTGCAATATAATTGCTGGGAAAACTTTGTCGAAGGAAAAAATCTAGAAAAAAA